GGGCTGCAGACCTGCAGGCTGGGGGATGCATGTGCACAGGCTGGCTGGACACCAACCAAGCACTGCAGAGCTGAGCAGCCCACCGAGGAGATCATATATGCTGCGAGGGAAGAGCAATTCCCTCTTCAATTGCCCATAAACGCTCCCCAGCATAAATCACTAAAGTCATGTTCTCTAATGACATCAAGCCAAATTGAAAATCTAACATAGGGGCTTTGCATTTCAAAATTACAATTTCTGACAAGTTTTATGTAAAAAACCTCAAAATACACTGCGAACGGCTCCTCTCCGTTTTTTAGTTCCATTAATAAATTATAAACCTCTGGAAACAATTAAAGAAATCACATTCAATATACTGCACACCAAAATAAATGGAACAGATTTTCCCAAATGATAAGACACATCACTGGAAAATACTATTGTGCCAAATTTCAAAGTACATTTCCCCTTTTAGTTTAGTTTCATATTTCCGTGTACTTCCCACACTAAACATTTCCATTTTTCCTCTGCTACTACTATTTAAAGAGTGTGCTGTCACTACATAAAACAGATTAGAGAAGCAGACAAGCTGTGGCAGCAGAAATATGAAAGCAAGTGTACATAAAGCTCTACCAAGTAGTAATATTCCCCCTCCACCAAAACACCACTCCAACAAGATTTCCCAGAAAGTCAGGTTAAGATGACTGTACGAATTCAAAATCAGATATTTTAATTAAGATTTGATAAACATACTTCTTAAAATAGCTAAATGTGGAACTGAAATTTTAAACTCCCCCCCCCAACACAAACATGGAAAGACTAAACACTGCCTTACCATCATTAAAGAGATTAGTGAAATTCTGGGGAATTATTTAAGCTTTGCTGAACACAGTGTTTCTACTTTAAAAATATAGACAGAATAATATCCACAGTGCCTGAATTAACATACAACACGCTCAAATGAGCACAAAGCAACACGCAAATGTATCTTTCACATAATTAAAATGAGGAGTGCCAAATGCAGTTCTCATTTATTTTAATTACATTAACTTAATGTGTTGAAGTGTCTAAGTTTTAAGTCAATCCCCGTTCTTGCTCAGTTACAAATTGTCAGCTAATTAGGGGGGGTCTTGTCACAACAAACTGTTCCTATTAATTAATATAAAGAATTTGTCACAGTCCAACTTCAATTATCTTCAAACTAAACCTCATCACATCTACTGGCAATCGATTTCTTTCTTGCCAGGAGTGACAAACTCACTCTGAATCAAGGAAATATTAAGCCTGCCAACATGCGTAACATTCACAAACACCGTGCACTCTGCGCGAAGAAGGAAAAAAATTATTTCCAACATAATGTCTCCCAGCTAGTTGTTTCCATGCTAGCTTTATATAAAATAGCATATTTTTGTAAAAAACTAAGGTAAAGCAAAACAACAGCTATTAGACTTTTTACTACTGCTCTGAATATAACAGATAGTTTTTTCTCCATGAGTTATGGGAAGTTCTGTGATTATCTGCATTATGCTTTGGTTTCTATTTAGAATCCTAATTCAAAATGTTTACAATTAAAAACTAATTACACTGCACACATCCTACCAAAAAGAAAAAACCCAATACTCCACTATGTATGTAAAAAAGACCACATATTAATATTTACAAAAAATTACCCCAGCTGATTACAAATAACCAGTAGAAAAAAATGAGACTATAAAGAGTTATCTGGCTATTCCATTTACATCAATGTAAAACTGTATTTGGATTGCATCAATTTAACTTTGCAAGTTAAGAGAGATATTAATAGACCCTAAGTTTACAAATTTAGATCAATTTGAAATTACTATGGCACTCTCCAGGACACTGCCCCATTAGAAAAGGATCTTATAAAAACACTAATCAATGAGATGGCCAGCATCATACTGTGATTTACGATAATTTACTTTCACACAAACATAAGGCACCTTGTTTTTAAAGCAGCCACCACTTCTAAAAGTAATATTACCAGTTTCCCTTAGCAGCACAGTTAACAGTAGTCTAATGAGCAAGTTATCTCTTTAATTTTAAAAAGAAACAAATACACATAATCCCTGTAAAATAACAAAGCTCAAGTGTACCTGAAACCTTCAGTCAATCAGATTTCCTATTCTGCTACTTTAGTAACTGTGAAACAAACTGAAATAAAATGTCTCAAACACACACTTGCCATTATTGGGGTTTGTTTCATGTTTCTCCTGAAGCAACTACAGCACTCAGTTTGGGGAGGGGAAATACTGATGAGGAACAGAAATTGACTCTCTGTGATAGCACATATTTAAGTCAATCTCTTCTGGATACTTTGATTTGCTTTTAATCAAACAGTCAATCTCACAGCAAAATTCAACAGCACCCTCCAGGCTCAAGCACTTGCCCCATCATCTTTCTGTTCCCTTGGAACTTACCAAGTATTTGCTGATTACATGGAAGTCACTCTTCACAGAAATCAAAGTAAGGCAAAGGGAGAATTTACGTACCAAAAAAAAAAAAAAAAAATCAAAACACACACAGTGCTGTTGCCAGTAAACTGAAAAGAAGCCTAGGCGTAATATTTGCCTCCTGACTTCGAAGTTCCTCTCCCAAGGTACAGTCTGACAACACCACCCACAGCTCCCGGAGAACCTCACTCTAAAGCTACTTTATAGACAGAGGCTCTCTGCACAAGAGAGACCGGGATGTGGAAATTTGTAGAGACTTTCAAACCCAGCTTTAAGAGTTTCTTGGATCCAAAACTCTTTCCCTCCTCACGGATTTGTCAGTCCTCAGTTCAAACAGGGAAGAACTTCAGCCTTCCTGTCATTAGATGCGCTGTACACATCTTCCAACTTTTTTGAAATGTTAACCCTTGTGTAGGGGCCAAAATCACCAACCAGGTAACAGAGACAGGTAATTTCTGCTCAGGCACTCAGCAAGCAAAGACTTAATCCACCCTCAAGCAGAAACAACATTTTCCAGCAACCAGGTAACTTAAGTGCCAGAGCTAAATTTCTCCACATAAAATATATGCACACAGACTATAAAGAACTCTAACTCATAAACAGCATATGGAGGTACTAGGATAACTGGGGTATACAATTCTACTAGCTACTGGCCAGGAGGATGTAAAAGGCAAGCCACCCATATCGGCAGCAGAGCAGTAAGTGTATCTGAAAGGCACCAGTTCCTCAAATCTGTCTTTCAGGGACACTGTGAAAGCTCTCAAACCCAACTGCAGTGGATCAGTCTACATTACCAAAAGATACCACTATAGCTAACTCCATGATGACGATAATGTTACCTGGCAGCCCAAGAATGGCCACAGGGAATAATGGCATGGTATTTGCTTGAACACATAACTATAATTATTTAGTGGTGTATTTCTCACCGGCAAAGGCATCATGGAAGCCCTGTTGCAATGTGGCAATGCAAGTGGACAGGCAAGCAACGTACCAGAAGGTCAGCTGGGATGTGACCCAACAGCACATCAGTTGCTCCACAGTAATCCCTATGGACTTGCCCTTACTCCGGGGTAAATGTGAAAGAGCTACCCTTCTTTCATCAAAAATAGTAAGATAGTTACCTTTTCGTAAGGGGAAGATGACACAAAATTCTAATCTCTTACCAGTGACTTCTGAAAAGTGAAAACTTTTCAGAAAGTGAAAAGAACACCCACTGTCTCTACTCTATAAGCAACTTTTTAAAAACTTCAAAAATCAGTTTTTTAAAAAGATCAACTTGCTGATCTTCAAAGAAACTGGTATCTCACAATTAGGACCAGAAGTCAGCATATTTTTAAAAAAAAAAAACAAAAATTATATACACACATAAAGATATTTAATGTAACAAGCATGCATGTGCTAATTCCTACTAAGGCTTGATCTAACTTTAAATATATTTTTGTATGAACTTCTAAATGTGATAGTATTGTTACAAAAAAAGTAATAAAATAAAGAATTTCCACCATTAATGCTATGAATGACCATTTCTGTTTCAATTGTATGCTCAGAGTAAATTGCTGTCTCCAGAGATACCAAAATTGCTGTAAGGTTTGCAGCTCTTACTACACAAGCTTTTGATTTCTCTGTCCTGGTTTTGGCTGGGATAGAGTTAATTTTCTTCCTAGTAGCTGGTGTAGTGCTGTGTTTTAAATTTAGTATGAGAATAATGTTGATAACACGCTGAGGTTTTAGTTGTTGCTAAGTAGTGCTTACACTAGT